ATATAAAATGTTGTTACAACAACAAGTAATGGGTTAGTTTGGCTCGTGACCATCATTTTATTGTAGCGGGGGCTGACCAGAAAGATGAAGACAAATCCAAATGGACGTGCACTCTATTTCGTCCAGTTTATGACAGTTGTCATCAATCGTTTCGGTTTTGTCATGTCCATCTTGGTTTAAATGTAGTCATGTGGAGGGTTGGTCCCCCTTATGGAGAATGCTTACGTGCACAATGGTCGATTCTTGATAAAGATCTATGCGATCTCAGTATAGTTATTGACTGGGAATCACTGTGGTCATTACCTAAATTTATTGCCTTTAGAGATGATAATAGTTCTTTTCTTAGTGCTCGGTCAATTGACAATCATTCATATCTACAATTTTCATCCAACAATATTGACGATCCTACCGTTCAGATGGAGACCTTCATCACAAATGATAGAAAAATTCGTGTGAAGTCAGCTCACTTCCAATCTGTGGATGCCACTGCTCAAAATCTCGATACTTTGTTTTCGCCAACTAAAGTTGCGTCCCACGTTGTTGCTCTTCGTAACTTGGGTAATAACAACTTTGTTAAAAGGTACACTTCAGCAAGCAAAGTAAGTTGTCTCATGGCAGCTGTAAAAAATATCGATGAATTTTCACACTTACAAATGGTTGAGCTTGTTCTTTCACGACAAATCAACAATGTCGTGTTTTATCTTTCTGATGCTAGAATCCCTGATCAAGTTGCTATCGTATTAGCAACTGCATAAGCTGCAAACGATTCGAACTTACCCAACACTGTCTGCTTGACTTTCTCACATACAAACACCAGATCTAGCACATGGGCTTCTTCAGTTTCAACGAAATTGGACGTCAAGACAATAATCGAAACCGGAGTTCCTCTCATTGTCGATGGAAAGACAATTGAAACATCGTCGACTAAGTTCGTTGGAGAATACAAATGGGGAGAAACTATAACAACGTCAAAGATACAAGAGATCAAATATGAGGCAACTATACCACCGATGAGCAGTATTAACGTTACCTTACATGCAACTAAGGGTTCGTGTCCTAAGGTGTGTTGGTTGTGCAACTATACCGATGAGCAGTATTATTATTATATCGCAACAATAATAATAATAAAAAAAAAAGGGTGTCCTAAGGTGTGTTGGTTGTGGCCGCATGTCGGATGTTTCGATCATGTTTGTCTAGAGCATGTTATCAATATGGGAGGTGTATAACCATTTACCAGAATCTTTTGTCAATTTTTCCTACCCGAGTTATATACTATCAAAGTTATAATTGTTGTTGATTCGTTTTTAGCTTATAATATTGATTTCTTTCAAATCTTTTTCAACGCGTTTCCTCGTTCACGTTTTATAAAATATTTTCTGTCAAACGTGACTCGAGATTCGATCATACGTCAAGATTGTCCACAAAATTTCATTTTCACACGAATGACTTGTTCACAAACTCAAAACTCACGACTTTTCGAAAAGGGTTCGATGAGCTATCCTTAGCAAAACGACACATGGAATCTAACCAATTTTTTATTCTTCCAGAGAATATTCATGAATAAAAGAAATTGAGAATATTTCACTTTTTCTTTTTGTGGAAAGGGATAATGATAAGCTTCAGGTAAGAAAATAAGTTGTCTCATGACGGCCGTGAAAAATGATCGAGCTTGTTCTTTCACCAAAATTCAACAATGTCGTGTTTCGTCTCTCTGATACGGGAATTCGTGATCAAGTTATTATCATACCAGCGAATACATAAACGGAAAATAATTGAACGGGAAATACTTGTTCGACTTTCTCATATATAAACACCGAATCTAGCACATGAGCTTCTTCATTCTCAACGAATCCAATAAGAAACCAGTTCAATTGGACTTGTCAACTTCATCATCTTTATTGGTTCTACGCAACTGCACCTCTTTTTTGTTGCCTTTATTCCGTGATTTTAACGCAATAAAAATCATAAAGAACGATCGGCTAAGTTAAGAGAATATCATGACAATTTAATATTATAAATAAAATATAAATTACGAGACTTTAAGATATAAAGTCTAAATACTTCAAATTTGGACATTATAACAAAAATAGATGCCCGTCTTTTTCACTTTTACTATAATAAAAATAAGGATAAGATAAAAATATGCGTAAAACGACATTTTTTTACCTTTTCTTTTTGTAGAAAAGATAACGAGAATATTTAGGTGCAATTAGTAAAATCTATGCTTCTCGAGCGATAAATAGCCTAGCATAACAAGAATAAGTATAGCTACTCAACTTAGTGTCGACAAAGGGACAAGGATGGTGCAATTTCCGAGGTTTGTAGTCCTCAAATCAAAGTATAATCACAACTACTTGCGCTATTTGGATGAAACTTGTTCACAGGTGAATATGTTTCTGCGGTACTCGGGAAAGGAGATTCTTACTCCATACACAAAGTTTGAGTTCGAACAAGCTAAACGTGACCCGTCTTTATTCCACATAAGATGTTGTTACAATAATAAGTACTGGACTAGTTGGGCTTGTGACAAACATTTTATTGTAGCGGGAGCTTACGAGAAAGAAGAAGATAAATCCAAATGGTCGTGCACACTATTTCATCCCGTTTATGACAGTTCTCGCAACCATTTTGATTTTGTCACGTTGGTCTTGGTTTTAACATAGTCGTATGGAGAATTGGTCCTCCTTATGGTCGGTTGCTAATAGAGATCTCTGCGATCTCAGTATAGTTATTAACTGGAAATTAGTGTGGTCATTACCTAAATTTATTGCTTTTAAAGGTGATAATGGTTCTTATCTTAGTGCTCGCTCAATTGACAATCGTCCATATCTACAATTTTCTTCCAACAATATTGACGATCCTACCATTCAGATGGAGACTTTCATCACAAATGATGGAAAATTTTGCATCAAATCAGTTTACTTCCAGAAATTTTGAAGACGTGACACATCTAATTAGATTTTTGCTGACTATTATGAGACCACTACTCAAAATCTCGATACTTTATTTTTGCCCACTAAAGTTTCACCCGACGTTGTTGCTCTTTGTAACTTGGGTAATGACAACTTTGTTAAAAGATATACTATAGGCAGCAAAATAAGTTATCTCATGGCAGCTGTGAAAAATATCGATGAATTTTCACGCTTACATATGGTTGAGCTTGTTCTTTCACGACAAATCAACAATGTCGTATTTTGTCTTTTTGATGCTAGGATCCATGATCAAGTTGTTATCGTATTAGCAACTACAGAAGTTGCAAATAATTCAAACATACCCAATACTGAATCTGTGACTTTCTCATACACAAACAACGGACTGAGCACATGGGCTTCTTTAGTCTCAACAAAATTGGACATCAAGATAACGGTCGAAGCAGAAATTCCGCTCATTGTTGATGGAAAGATGATTGAAACGTCGTCAACTATGTTTGTTGGAGAATACACATGGGGTAAAACCATAACAACATCGAAAGACTCAAGAGATATATGAGGTTACTATCCTACCATTGAGCACCATTAGCATTACTTTATGTGCAACGAAGGGCTCATGTGACGTTCCGTTCTCATACCAACAAGAAAAAGTCAACTACAGATATTGATACCTATAAAATAGCAAAAGAAGTCAACTACAGATATTGATACCTATAAAATAGCAACAAACCGCATACCATATGATCACAACCACTACAAGTACAGAGACATTTTCCACTAATCTGATTATATTGAACTCTCTATTACTACTTTTTAAAAGATATCATACTCATACTATCAATAACTTCTAACTCAAAACAATGTATCACATACTACTCCTTACACCTTCCGATCATGATGTATGGATTGGCATCAGAGATCGGACCCTCCCTCCTACGGTGCAGGCACCCTCCACTGTGCGCCAATACCGAAGGCGTAGTGGCATTTCCTTCGATTACTGCATTATAGTCTTCATGCAGGGCGGAGTAGAGATATTGAGGTTTGACGTTTAGACATTAAATAAGTAACTACCTTACTCCTTACGAAAAACACTTAGAGATAAGTGTAGACTCAGATGTGATGGTTTTTGCAGTGCCATCTAACATCTGACGAGTAAGGCACCATCCACTGTGCACCAATACCGAAGGCTTAGTGGAACTTCCTTCGGTGGCTGCTACAGCAGCGGCGAGTAAGGGAAACTGCTTATTAAGTATTGCAATAATCTGATACCTTACTCCTTACGAAAAACACTTCTCGATAAGTGTAGACTCTGATGTGATTGCTTGTGGAAGGGTTACTTCATATCAGAGGAGTAAGGCACCATCCACTGTGCACCAATACCGAAGGCTTAGTGGAACTTCCTTCGGTTACTGTATCATCCGCTGGGTGAATCCTATTACAGGGCGAGTAAGGGAAACAACTTATTAAGTCTTGCCTTATCCTACCTGACCCTATCTGACCTTATCCTATTTTTGCTTATACGGTTTTTGCCCAAAGAGACTATTACCCTAAGACCTTCAGAGGTAGGAAAGGCTAAGGAAATGTCTATTACCCTCATACCTTATCAGGAGTAGGAAAGGCCTATTATCCTCTGACCTTATCAGGAAAATTCAATTGCCTTAGTTCAGTAATAATCCTTAGAGGTGGAAAAAAAAGTTGAATATTCTTTAAACGACGGTGTTTACTATGGCACCAAGTACTATAACTTTAAATGTGAAACTAAAACGCTAGTTTGTAATAAAAGAAGAAGAAAATTAAAAGTAAAACACATAGGTTGCTTGTAGAGTTGGAGTCTTCATATAATTATTATTTTTAAAATTAATAATTTTAAATTGAGTGATGCGGGTGAAAATCCAACAAAATCACAATAATTAAAAAACCTATGAAGCTTAAAGTAATAAAAAGACACCAAAATTATATCAATTTTAATGTAATGAAAAAAGACACCAAAATGAGCAGGTTAAAATAGTAATTTAACAAGGTCAAAATGTTAAAGTTTTATTTCCCATTTTTTTTTTATTTTTAAAAAAGGTTTTATTTAGTAAATACTTTAAGCACAAAAGTCTGATGGGAGAAAATTAAAAGGGCCTTTTTGTTAATTCTACTGCGAAAAGGGAATTAGAGCCAAAAATGTAAAACAAGAACACAAGAGGAAAAAGAAGCAGCCTAGGTAGAAGCCTTGATCAAGGCTTCCACGTCAGCCTCTGATGGGAGAGCTGGGATTGCTCCCTTCTTGGTTGTTGTAATGGCTCCACATGCATTTGCAAATCTCAGGATCTCCCTCAGCCTCTTCTCATCCTGCAATAAAATAAATTAAAGTAGGGATACAAGCTAAGTACCTCGATAACAGATTAGTCGGGTCGATAATCATGTAAATAAAAGTTCCATTATTCAACCAACTCTAATGAAAGACAGACGTGCCTCGACAACAGATTAGTCGGTCGACAATCATGCAAATAAATGTTTTCATTAGTCGTGACCTTATTAGATAACAAACTCTTATGAAAGATACAAGTACCTCGAGAACGGATTGGTCGTCGACAATCTTGCAAAGGAGAGCGCCAACAAACGAGTCGCCAGCTCCAGTTGTGTCCACAGTTTTGACCTTGAATGGATCCACGGAGCCGCGGAAGTTCTGTGTTTTTTTAACCAAAGAAAAAAGGAGAGTTAAAAAATGCAATTTTTACTGTTTCAAAAGTAATACTAAGGTCCTATTAACAATTTTACCGAAAAAAAGATAATAATAATAATAATCCTAATAAATAAAATAAATAAATAATCTTCTGTCCATCATGAACAATGTGGGACAAAGGAAGCACCATTGCTTTTGTTTACGAAACAAGGTAAGGAATTGAACGAACAAGCCTTTTCAGGAAGCAATTATTAACACAGTGGCCCTACAAATCAAAACCCACAGGCATTAAAAAGGTGCGTTACTCAGCCTAACTTCCTAGCTGGAAAATTTTGAGAAGTTTTCTTGGAGATCTGAAATTTTCTCGGGAAAGTAGATAGAAGGGTGGTGAGATCCTACATCAGTTGAGGAGTAGAACGAAACATTGTTTATAAGGGTGTGGAAACTTCTCATTTTTTAAACCTTTAGGGGAAAACTGAAAGGAAAAACTCAAAGACAATATTTGCTAATGGTGGGACCCGGCTTGAGTCCTAACAGAGATTTTAATTTATGTTATGGATAAACACGGGAATGAATGTACAGCTATGCAATTCCCAGATCCAACCACTAATAGCCAACAACCAGCCTTTGACAGTAAGAAAGCTATGAAAAAGTACCAACAACCAAAATAATTACCTGTTTTTGTTTTTGAAGTAAGGATTACGAAAAGTGTTGTCTAAATTATTATAGTGCTTTGAACTTCACATGGCTCAAATTTGTCAGTCATAAAAGTTCAAAAAATTGTAACAGTTTTAAGTCAAATTCTTATTTTTTGCCTGTTTTTAAGCATTAAAATACGTCTTCTAATGAACAACAAATGTCAGAAAGAAGTCAAATATTCTGATTCAAACATGGGAGCGGTTAGGCAAACAAACAATCAAATTTGAACAGAATTATCACCAACCCATTCCAAGTTCTCACCAACCAAACCAATGTCCAACAAATTCAAATAAGAACAAGGAAATAAGGATATGATAAAATATCTAAATTATAAGTCCTAACATTTTCAAACGCCCAAAATTTAGCCCACCTTTAAAAAAATTCCTACCATTAATTGGAATATTCAAGCATGGTATCCTCCTAAATGAACATAATCGTGACTAAATTTAAACATTTGAAAGTACAAACACTAATAGAATTATGAGGGTACCTTGGTGTAGTATTTGCAGCCATGCTCACCGAGAGTGAGCAAGAGGAGCTTCAAGCCATCATGCCAGAGAGACATGGCAGTTTCATCATCGACCTTTTCGGATTTGGTGAGGAATTTGAGCTCATCATCGCTAACCTTGATGATGTCGGCCTTGTCCCAAATGCTTTTGATCTGTTCACGGGCCTCATCTGCTGAAGGCCACAGAGGCAGTCTCAGATTTGGATCGTATGAAAGCAGAGCACCTGCTTTCTTGGCCTCCTCCATTGCCTTTATATGGGCAGATCTGCAGGGCTCCACGATCAAGCTTATGGACCCATAGTGAAAGATTTTAGCCTACAAACACAAAACATATGATAACATATTCAGAATTTCGCAATTATTTGTTAGATGTGATCGAAATAGACCAATTAAAATTAACTTATGGGTGAAATATTCATTTTTTGATTTTTTTCAAGAAATATATTGCCGAAAACTTTTAGTTCATCTGCACGAGACGTGTAAATCACGAAAGACATTAAATAAATATAAGCATCAGTTTTGTTTGAAAAGCTATATCCTGACTTTTAAAAAAACTATTTAAAGAGAAAATCATAGTAACTTACTAACTTTGTTTATTTTTAAATAAAAACTTTCTATAATTAAACAAAATAAATGCCAAGCCAGTGAGATACTTTATAAAATTAAAGTCTAAATAATTTAATTTTCTCTAAAATTTCTATTTTTGAATTATGCATTTCGTAGTGTTCAAGCTAGCTTCCTAAACCTAAATAAAACAAAAGATAAATATTTTAAATAAGAGATTAACAAAAAAAACTTCTAAGGATATCGTTTCAGAAAAATCAAATATCTAAAAAGATCCCAATTGATCCAATATTCCATTTTTGGAATAATTATGTAATAATCAAAATAAATGGAAAAAAAAAAAAACTAAAAATATCTGACAGAAAAGGGAGAACTTCGCGAGTGATGGGCAGCACCGCTAACTACACGTGAGAATAAAGTCTAGGTAAGCACGTGAAGTTTCGCCACGTCATCAATTAAAGGGGTATAATCGGAAATTCATACATGAAAAAGCGAAATACCGAATTTACCCATAATTATCACTACTACTGCTACTCTAAGTCTATGAGTGGGGCCCAGAATATTATATCTGACGTGTCAAATTAAAAAAAAAAAAGAACTGGCGCACGAGTCTATAAGATTAAAATACTCGACCTCGGTCAAATTCGCAACAGGAAAAATTTTCCGGGAAAATCAATTGACGAGAAAATCAATACCAATACCGAATCGAAAAGGAAAATGAAAGAGAAGGAGGAAACTCACGGATTTGATGAGTTTGATATTCAATTCGTCCGCCTTGAGAAGCATATCGGCGCTAGGGTTTCGGTAGAACATAAACTCACGCTCACCGTCGGAACGCAGAGTGACGAAGGCTAAGGCGGTTCTAGCGCCTTTATCGAAGCAGATTCCTTCGTCGTTAACGCCGTGCTCCCTCAAGATATTGGCCAACATGTGGCCAAACTCATCTTCACCGAGCTTTCCAACGAAGGCAGAGTGACCGCCAAGGCGACTGACAGCGATCGCAACATTCGCCGGAGCACCGCCGGGAGCCTTGAGAAATCCAGGCGCATCCGCTAGAGATACGCCGGAAACCGTCGGGACGAAATCGATCAACATCTCACCGAAACTAACGATCAGACCGGAGCCGGTGGGAGAAGCGCCGTTATTTGGAGCCATCGGAGAAGGAAAAACAAGTGCAGAAACAAATAGTGATCGGAGAAGTTTAGAGAGAGAAAGAGGGGAAATTGGGACGGTGCATTTGATTAATTGAGCCAATAGAAAATGGAATTTATAGGAGGGAAGATTTGGGGAATATAAAATTAAAAAGAAAATTAATTAATTTTCTTATTTAATTAATTTACTCAATATATCTTAATTTTTAAAATTTGCTTTAGCTTGGCAGTGTGGCCCACCAATAATTTTTTAAATTTGCCATTTATTATTATTATTATTTAATTGAAAAAAAGAAATAGTTGTGAGAATATAAGAAGAAATTGGTACATTAATTATGAAATTATTTAATTACAAATTGATCTATTTTTTCCAAAAAAAAAAATGAAAAAGAAAAAAGAAACTAGCCGTTAGTGTAAAAACTTTCGTGAAAACTAAGCAAAATGCATTATTATTTACTGAAAAATAAATTTTTATATTTGTTTTTTTAAAATTAAAAATTTGTTGGTTTATTTTGTTCCCTCTTACTCTTATCTATACTACTCTCGCTTCAGCCCACTGCAGACCTCTGGAGTATCTCCTCCCCTTTGCCGCCACCCTATGTGGCGGCTGAGACTTCCTTTAACCTTTTTTCCAGCTTTATGAAGGGGTGAGTGGCGGCAACCACCGTAGACTCAGCCACAATTGCTCGTTTGAGACGAAAAGAAAAAAAGAATGATAATGGTAAGAGTCGAACGATATACCTATGAATTCAAATAAATAAAAAATTTATGAATTAATTTATTCTATGTGGTTTTAATTATGGTTCAATTTGATTTATTTTATGAATTTTAATTTTTATTCAAACGAATAAACTCAAATTTATTATTTTATTATTATTATTATTATTTTGCTTATAATTATAACTATGCGTAGTTTTTTTAAAAATATATATGGAAACTAAACATTTAATGTTTGAAAATAAATAAAGAGATATTTTAGGGTTGAGGATTTAAATTTTCTGAATTAAAATTTTACTTTAATTAGAAGAATAAACAAAAATTTAAATAAATTATTTACGTTGAGTTCATCATTTAATAAATATTGTTTTGGTCGAAGAAAAATTTACTTCAGCATTTTATATAAATTAATCTACAATTTACCATTGTTCTAGAGATATTCATGAATTATAATTTATTAAGAACCATATATTTATTTTTATTAATATTTAAAAATATAAAAAATTAAAAATAAATTGATTAAAAAGTGTATAAAAGATTAGATATTCAAATCGATACAAACTACTAAACTAAGTAAAGACATACACTTTTATTTACAAAAGAGTATAAATCTACAAAGTTCTCAACTGATACACAATATTATCTCAAATTCTTCTAAAGACTTACAAGAAGATATATGGTATAATGATCATCAACTATAAGCCAATCTATACGCACGTATAGCCCCAAAACCGTGTAGCTATGTACTCTGTCGAATGGATGGTTTAAAATCTAGTATTCACTCGATTCTACACCAACATTTTAAGAACAGAGACGAACACCGATGATTCTATTGATATGAGTTCATGAAAGAAATGAAAGTATAAGACTTCATTGAGCATGGCGGAGAGGACCTGGACATGATCTATTCTCTCCTCGAGCTGGTTGTGTGGACTATAACTCTTAATATGGTAATGACAGTTGTAAAACTTGAGGTAGAACAAAGGACCCAGATATGATATGTTCTCTCCATTTCGAGCTAGCTGAGTGGAATCATAACTCTTAATAGGGTAATGACACGGTTGAAAATTTTGAGGTAGGACATCTCTGGTGTGTTGATAAGTAATAAAACATCGAGGACGGGGACGAGGACGAGCTAAGTAATTTAGTGAAGAAAAACACTAATTCCAAATGAGGGGTTTTTTAAACTGATTAGCCATTGCCTCCTGGAGAAACTTGACAATGGATGTGCGTTCAACTTCTTTCTCCCTTTTGAGTTCTAGATGTCGAACCTGAATTTGCAATGTGATCTATAAGAACAATGCCTTGGCGCAACAATAGATATTACAGCTAATTGAGTTGCATAAAAATGGTTCATTTGATCATTATAAATAGCTATCCAGATCAACCTGAACTTAACCCTCCGTCTTAATGACAATGTAATGAAGATTAAACACTAAATTTCTAAAAAAGAAACTCATGATTAAGATGATTCTAGATTAAACCCCATGAATTTACCACACCACATTCTTTCAAAATGGTGTCATCCTAGAGTAGACACCGATTACAGTTTTGTAAGCTCAAGTAAAGAAAAATAGGCAAATGTTGGCATGCTATCAAGTCTTCTATAAGCTAGAATTTAGAGGTAGGATTTAGAATGACGGTTGGATATGAATTCAAAAATCTTCTCTCTCTAATAACCATTTGATATAAAATCGAGGACCTTTTACAATTTCTCCAATGGTGCTAATTTCTCTCTCATTCTCCAATGGTGCAAAACTATGACGGTGAGATCCACATCGATTGGAGAGGAACGAGTGCCAGTGAGGACGTTGAACTCCGAAGGGGGATATATTGTGAGATCTCACATCGGTTGGAAAGGGGAACGAAGCATACTTTATAAGGGTGTGGAAACCTCTCCCTAGTAAAGGCGTTTTAAAAACCTCGAGGGGAAGCCCAAAAGAAAAAGTCCAAAGGGGTTAATATCTGCTAGTGGTGGGTTTGAATTGTTACAAATGGTATTGGAGCCAGACACTGGGTAGTGTGTCAGCGAGGACGCTGAGCCCCGAAGGGGGTGGACACCAGGCGGTGTGCCAACGAGCACACTGGACCTCGAAGGCAGGTGGATTGTGAGATTCTACATCGATTGGAGAGAGGAACGAGTGTCAGGGAGAACTTTGGGCCCCGGAGAGGGACGGATTGTGAGATCCCACCTCGATTGGAGAGGAGAACGAAATATTCCTTATAAGGGTGTGGAAACTTCTCCTTAGCAGACACGTTTTAAAAACCTTGAGGGAAAGTCTGAAAGGGAAAACCCCAAGAGGACAATATCTGCTAGTAGTGGGCTTGAACTGTTACAATAACTACTTGTGGTAGTCTCCTCGAACAATTTCTCCATGATTTGGTACATCTTTATAGTATCAAACAATGGAGGAAAGAAAAACTAGTTTACCTTAGATGCCTGTTATCTTCCATCATTTAAATTTTCTAGCTTTAAAACCCAAATGCTGCTTAGATATATATTGGAGTTTAGAATAGAAGTCTTACCCTTACTGAACCTCTATTTGATACACCAGAGTCTGTAATAATAACAAGGCATTTTATGTCATGCTCGTTAGCATATTCATATTGCTCCGTGAAGCTTGGATCAGGTGTAGGGACAAGCTGAGCCTGATGAAACAAAAAGCACTTCTCAACTGTAACAATTCAGTAAACCGTAGATTATCCTAATATATCAATACTTAACCTTAATCTTCTCCTCCCATAGCTCCACAACAAGTTCCATGCGTTCTAACAATAATCCACCTCCTCCTCGCGAACAAACCAGGAAACTGGTGCTCCCCTCATTTCTGCAAAGTTCATAACGGAATAAAATAAGTGAAAGAAAATGCTGAAAAGTTTCAGTCGACCATGATATAAAAGACTTGGCAAAGTAATATAATGACTATAAAGTGCACCGGATGGGTTTCAAATCTACAGCAGCTTGCTGAATCATAGTCTCTAATGCAATGCTGGTCCCAACGCCACCCGGAGGGGTAGTTTTCTACCAAAGAAAAACGAGTAACATATCTTAAATTTGAACATTAAAGATCAAATGTAAACAAAACTAAAACGCATTTCTGGACAAAAAGAAGACAAGACTCAAATCTTTCGATAACATTATAAGAGGTCGAAACGTAAGTGCGTCGGATGACAATGAAATTTAAAGTTAGAAACAAAGAGTGTTGAAAGTCTGTGTTCAGGACCTATAATAATATATCCCATGTGCCCAATACTTCTCTCCGTATGTTAGTGTTTTTTTTTTTTTTTTTTGGATTCTTTTTCTGTAACTCGGCTATTTCATTCTCATAGTTTTTCTTCTGTGTCAATATTAACTCACATATGCTCGGCTCCACATTTGCTGCAGCAAATAGTCATAGCGGCCACCAATAGCAACCAGTGTACCTTCAGGATGTGAACCAGGATGATTTTCCTTTGTTAAGTATACCTGGACATGCAATTGCAACTCAGTTTCTGACACTAAAATAGAGCAAAATACTGCTCGAGTATTACACATATACACTTGGAGAACATAAAATTTAGATTTCTTTGGATGAATCATGCCCAATTAGAAAAGCAAACATGCGAGTAGTAACTAATACTTCAGTGCATAAGAGTGACGCGTTGAGACAAGAGATTCAGCTAATCAGGTAGAAAGATTTCAGGCAAAAAAAAACATAATCTCGCTGAGAAGACAAGCTCAGTTATTGGCTTTTTGCACTAAAATTTTCACATAATCAAATTGTAACGGCCCAAGCCCACCGCTAGCAGATATTGTCCTCTTAGGGCTTTCCCTTTCAAGCTTCCCCTTCAAGGTTTTTAAAACGTGTCGGCTAGGGAGAGGTTTCCACACCCTTATAAAGAATGCTTCATTTTCCTCTCCTTCCGACGTGGGATCACACAAATGGTCTCATAATTTCTTGGCCTAGAGGGTTGAAGGTCTAAAACATCACAGATTTTAGAATCATGGTCTCAATAGCAACAACACTCAACCAATATATACATACAATCACAGATATGCACACATATATATGGACATACAACCACACATTTATATGATTTCAAAATAGAACTGCAAAGACAACCATCACATTTTCCATGTGGGAAGGAAGGGAAACCTGATACCTGAAAAAAAATATCTCGATGGTAATCCTCTGTTGGTGACATTAAGGCATCTATGTAAACATTTGCTTCAAGCCTCCACACTTTCAAGTAGTTGAAAAGGTCTAACAACTCAACAAGTGCTCTACGCATGGGTTTGTCTGCATTATAGTCTTAGCGAGGTTAAAAAGGATACATTTTTTATCTGAAACTGTAGGAATATAACCAACCAGTTACAACAATACCTGTTGGAAGTGCTCCCCTCAA